AATAGCTATCTACAGTGCGAATTGCGTCCAGAAAAACTTGACTGTCCGCACAATTATCCATTTTGGCTAGACATGTTAGAATGGAAGTATCTTACTTCTATATAGGTGAGAGATACCAGATGCAGCTTTCTCAAAGCAGCCCCACAGCCTAACCATAAGCCTTTCTTGATCACGCTCATCGTACTTCCCAGTTTCCATCACTAGTGGACGGAGTAAAGCTGATATAAAACAGGTGATGAAAGGCCAGAGTAAAATCTTTAAAAGCTCAAATAGCACAAAATTTGATAGACTTAATTAATTTTTGGTATAAGTAAACAGCATATATTTAAGAAACAATTAGACAATTTTAACTATTTAAAATTTTAAATTAATTTTATTTAATGACTTTTTTTGGTTTAGCGTAATTGGCGGGCTATTCGCCTGTACTCAATGGCATCTTCCAAAGGCTCAAATACCTACAATAGGCAAAATTGGGAAGATTCTGTGAGTAGTATTAATATACTTATCTATCTTGGATAAAATATATTTTATGCTTATATTGATGGATTCTGCCTTTTTTTAGTCCTTTCCTATCCTATGTGAGACATGTCTTGGCCCAAGTCCTTACGTCCGTATGATGAAAGAAAAGTACGGAAAAGAATGTAAAATTTGTCAAAGGCCATTCACCATATTTCGCTGGTGCCCTGGACCTAAAGCGAGGTTTAAAAAGACAGAAATTTGTCAAACCTGTGCGAAAGTCAAAAATGTGTGTCAAACGTGCATTTTTGACTTAGAATATGGTCTGCCTGTTGAGGTTCGCGACAAAGCCCTTCGTGTAGCCCAACATCTACCTCGTAGTGAAGTCAATCGGGAGTATTTCCACCAACAAGTAGAGCAGCAATTGGAATTAGCGGGTGACGTCACTGCTCCATATGGTGGTCACGAGCTTGTGGGTAAAATGCTCTCTGGCACTGTTGCATCGACTAGCTTTACGGGTTCTGGCGGTGCTGATATGCTACTTAAACTTGCAAGAACTACTCCATATTACCGCCGTAACCGCCCTCACATTTGCTCCTTCTGGGTTAAGGGTGAATGTAGGCGGGGTGAAGAATGTCCTTATCGACATGAGAAGCCAACTGACCCAGATGATCCGCTGTCTGACCAAAATCTCAAGGATAGATATTATGGCCAAAATGATCCAGTAGCATCAAAGCTTTTGTCAAAGTATCATTCTATGCCCAAGTTGACGCCCCCTGATGATAGAACAATTACCACTCTTTATATTGGAAACATTCCAGATATCGTCTCCGAAAAAGAGTTAAGAGACCATTTTTACCAGTTTGGAGAGATTCGATCTATACATATGCATGCTAAGCAGCACTGCGCCTTTGTGCAGTTCACTCTACGAGATGCCGCTGAGCGGGCAGCCGAAAAGACTTACGATCGGTTGATACTCGGTGGACATCGACTTAGTGTCAACTGGGGTAAGTCCCCTACGGCCTTGGCGGCTGCAGCACTCCAAGCAGCTGCTGCACAGGATGGAGCTGATCCCCATTCGGGCCTTCCTCCTGTCCCTGGACTACCTCTTCCACCGAAGGCGCCTCCTCCTGGCGTCGTGCTTTCTCAGGCCACATCTATTCCTGCTCAAATGATAGGGACATTCTTTTCCTCTCCACCTCCTCCGCTTTTGTCCGTTTCTTCTACTCTGGGCCTCACCAGATCAGGTTCTCTTGTCCCAGGCATCCAGTTGGCGCCTCCGGTTATCGAGCCTCCCCCTCCAGGAGCAGGTATTGTAGCTTAATTTATTGTCCTTCTGGAGAATCGTGTCTGTTTTTTTCGAAATATTTCTTTATTTACTTGTTCAGCAATTGATTCTTTTATAAAATTAATATATGTGAAAGCTTGTACTCTCCCAAGGTCATTATTCTATTTAGACGTTCGATCATTACTTTACTCGTTTATACTTTTGTAATATTTGTATAACTTTACCTTCATTAAATATATATATCAGTTCAATGTTAATAAATACATTTATATCCTTAAATTGATTATTACACTAAAATGAGTATGTATTCCAAACTAATCATTTTACTATAATTTCGCCAGACGTATTTCTTCGTGGTCCACCTCCGCCTCCCCTTCCGCCGCCTCCTCCAGGATACTTGGCCGGCGGTCTACCAAATCTAGTTTCACAGCCTCCTCCTGCGCCACCTGTTCTTCTTTCCACTCCTCTTGCAGCGCATTTGACTGGTGTTCCTTTACCAGCGCCGCCTGTCGTTGCCATCACTGTTGCCGCTGTTCCCATCTCGAATATTGTCACAGAAACTCAGGAATCTACTCCAAATGATATAAGCCCTCCTGGCCTTCTTGCTGCTCCCGTCCAACTTAATGAAGAACAAAGTAACTCATCCGAGTCTTCTTCACCGGTTAAGACTACAGTTGGCGATAAGACACTGCTTAAGCTTGCTGATATGGGCATACACTATCCCAGCCAAAACCCTCAAAGAATGGGCAGTGTTCCTCATGCTCAAAAAATATAGTTGTTTATTTAGTACTCATCAATCTTGTCTTTGGATTTTCCAAAGAACCTAATAAATATTCTAAAAATGTATAAAATTTGGTCTTTATTGTCTATATATGTTTGTGTACACAGATTCCTTAGAAGCTTGTGCAAAATTTTCTGGCCTCGTTTACTAGTTCATGCAATATTGTTTTTGTTAATTTTCTGTAAGCCTTCGGTGTGATGGTCCTCTGTGTTGGCCTTTATTTTAAGTGTGTCTCTTAGTCTGATTCATCTTTGGAATGGTGTGATGCCTCATACTTTTTACTGTCAATGAACTGCTGTTTTTATTAGCAAGTCTTACAATTGTTGATCATGAAAGATAATCAGATAGATTGCTTGTAATAACGGTCATCTCGATCCGTCCATTCCCTTGCACACGATATGCTGACTTTCTTAGCTTGGCTGGCCTCAAATGAAGCGTGATAAAGAAGAGGCCAACGAGGACGGATGATAATTGGTTCTTAGCATATCCATTTTGCCATTCACTACGATTGCGGCCTCGTTTGACAAGCTCTCTTCCAAAACTAGCTTAACAAGCAATATAAATCCTGATAGTCACAAGCAATCATATAAAACAGGGAGCCTAGTCTCACAGGTTCCTTGCATTTAACCTTAATCCCACTCAAGCTGGTAGCTAAGCCTTTTCGTCAATCTACCTTATGGAAATCATTGGCGGTACGTCATGCCTACTAATTACTCTATGATTCCAT